GTGAGCAGCCATCAGCATCAAGGCCAGAGCCGCCGCCAGCAAAAAGCTTAGGACTCTCTGAAGGCTCACATGATGATTAGCATTTTTAGCAATAAAGTATTTTTAAATTAAGGTATGTATATTGTTTTTTAGATATAATGCTATTGCACACTTAATGGATCACAGTATAGTATAAACATGACTTTTATGTGCCCCGGGAAACCAAAAAATTCGTGTGACTTGCTTTATTGTGGTGGTCTGAAACCAAAGCGCAGTATCTCTGAGGTCTGCTCATACAGGTTTGCATTCCAGCCAAAATGTCTGCAGGTGACATTGCTGTCTGCTGAATGGCCCAGACAGTCCTCTCATGTGAGTGTGTTTCGGCCTGTTGGTTCTAGGTGTCCAGAAGGTGCCCTGGCTCCTGGAGCTGGCCCACTGGAGAAGGTGTGCACACACTCACCCAACCTGCACCCCTCATCAGCGTCAGCGTGTCATGGAGCGCTCCTGCCTAGCGTGTGACAAGCTTGGCCTTGTGCCTTGATAGTTCCCCCCAACCCGTCAGGTAGGCCAGCTGCCCCTGGTGAAGCCTTACCTGCGGTCCAGAGCCAAAACAACAGGAGTGTGAACGAGGTGCTGAACCACCTGCTGACGGAAGAGGAGGATTATCAGGTGGGTGTGGAGAAGGCAGCCCTGTCTGGGGCAAAGCAGTGGGTCCCCAGCCCAGGAGCAGGCTGGGCTCTCCCCCTGCACCAGCCAGTCTGTTCTCAGAGCAGGCTGCCCTTGCACAGGAGGGTGTGCAGGCCCCAAAGGGCACTGGTGGGTACATGGGCAGGGGCCTTTCTGAGGCCAGGGTGGCAGTGACCTCCAGGTAACGCCGTGTGCCTGCTCATTGTGTAGGCAGCCCATGTCATAGTGTCGCATCCCTGGTGAAAAGGCTGTCTTCCTAGGGCTTGAGGGCATCTGTCGATGCCTACGACAACTTTGACAGCATCGGCCTGGCTCAGCGGCTGGAGAAGCACCAGCTGATGGAATTCAGGCGCATCGTGGCCTGTCTGCACAAGTGAAGCAACCGGTGGGCCCACAGTGTGGAACTCTGCAAGAAGGATCATCTCTACAAGGTCACAGGCCCCAGCCCCCCACTTCCTCCCTGCCTGCCCCTCAGGGTGCTCCCTGATGCTTTTGGATGGAGGCCACACCTTTCCTCTTCTCCCTGAGGCCTGGCTCTGAGCTTCACCAGGAGATCCTCGTGGGGGCGAGGGGTTGATGTTAAGCGGGAGCATGTTTAGAATGTAGGGCAAGCGTTTCGAGCCATCTAAGACCCCTTAAAAATTGTTTGGATTGACTCTCACAGAATCTTACAGAGTTGATACTTTTCCCAGAAGTTGCATATGAGTTTCACTCTACCTGCACATAGTGTGGCAGGATTCACTTCTTTTTATTATTATTATTATTATTATTATTTTCCCCAACAACTGCCTTCTGTGAGGAGGAGTCACTTCTTGACACCTACTTTACTTCCTGTCGAGATTTGGGGAATTAAAAAACCTAAACTAAAATCACATTCAAAATATTTGTTTCATAGCGGGGCATGGTGGCACATGCCTATAATCCCCGCTACTTGGAAGGCTGAGGCAGGAGGAACCCTTGAGCCCAGGAATTTGAGGTTGCAGTGAGCTATGATGATGCCACTGCACTCCAGCCTGGGTGACAGAGTGAGACCCTGTCTCAAAAAATAAAAAATAAATTGTTTTAAAGCTGTGCATGGTAACACACCTGTAGTCGCAGCTACTGGGGAGGCTGAGGCAGGAGGATCACTTGGGAGGGAAAAAACCAAAACA